ATTCAAATAGAAAAATTATCATCTCAGTACGTACTCTTGCTTGCATGTCGTTCATAGCCAGATTAATTGGTGAGTGTGGGTTATCAAAAATACATATTTAAATCTTTCTTTCTTATTCGGATGTGGTCTGCCCAGTACTATCCGGTTGGACCTTTTCTCCCTCAGTCGTGGGGAGTGTTTTTCTCCCGGGATTTCCTAGACGGTGTTTTTTTGGCGAGGTCGATCCATTTCGACAGACAATTCTTCAACTTGGCCTCGTAAGGAGTGTACGTGGAGTTAGAAATCACGAGCTTAATTAATTGGAATTGTAGAGGGATGGGGAATTTAGCAACGGTCCAGTTGATGTCAGATGTAGTTCAGGAGCACATGCCTTCAATTCTCTTCCTCATGGAGACGAAAGTTTGTGTCACCCGAGTTCAGGAGGTTGTGCGATCATTTGGGTTTCACCATTCTACCGGGATCGATAACGCATGTCTGAGTGACGATTTATTCTTGGCTTGGAATGGCGATGTGGAAGTGGAGGTTGATGAGGCTACACCGTCATTTATCGATTGCAGAGTTGCGTCGCTCATGGAAGGTAGGTTACGGAGGCTGAATGAGTTTTATAGATTTCCTGAAATGTCACATCGACGGGAGGCATGTGATTTGTTGAAGCAGGTAGCTGACAATACTTCTTTGCATTGGTTGGTCGGTGGTGATTTTAATGACATTATGTTTGCAGAGGAGAAGAGAGGATGGGTGCCACATCCGGAATGTCGAGAGGCTATATATGAGAGTGGTCTTAGGATATTTCTGTTTGAGGGCTATCAGTGAACTTGGGACCATGACCATGGTACAGTGAACTGGGTGGAGGAAAAGCTTGACCGAATTCTTGTCAATGATGAATGGTGGGACTTCTTTAACGCAGCTCATGCAAAATCTTTGGAGCCCCCATGAGTGATCATATGACCCTATAGGTTACTTTTAAACATGGTGTTAATTCCCGAGATAGAAGACCATTTAAATTTGAAAATATCTGGTCAAGCGAAGATGAATGTACGGTTATTGTTGGTAATAGTTGGAGGGCGGGGGATGGCTTTAAAATTATTTATTGTGGAAAGGAGATACAAAAATGGAACTGTAAGATGAAAAAGGACTTTGGTGCTCAAATTAATGCTTGTAAGAGGCGGTTAGCTTGGCCGAGGAATAGGGGGGATCAACGGAGTTGTATGGAATTTTTATATGTTAGAACGGATTTAGTTGTCCTGCTTGAAAAGTAAAATATTTACTGAAGACAGAGGACCAAGAAGTTATGGTTAAAAGAGGGGAATAGTAGCAGAGGTGGAGGAATACAATAGTGGGTTGGGGAAACGGAGGAGTGTGGACTGCGGATAGGGATGTGATGGGAACAATCGTGAAGGATTATTTTGTGAGCCTGTTTGGCGCCATCACGGGGGAGTTCTAGGGAGCAATTGTTGATGAATTTCGTAGGGTCTCGAGAATACAAAATCAGAAGTTAACCAGACCAACCAGGTCAGAGGAAGTAAGCTCTTGTGGTGGATGGTATGAATCCTGCATTTTTAGGCTTTTGGATATTGTGGGGGTAAATATTATTTCTCTACGCTCACATATTTTTTCAGACGGGTGAATTTTCCCAAGAATTAAATAATATTGCTAATATTGTGTTAATTCTGAAAAAAAGAGAAGCCTTTGAATATGGGAGATTGGAAGGCTGATTGCCTTGTGTAAAGTGGTCTGTAATTTTTTTTAAAGTCCTGGCAAATAGATTGAAAGGGATCTTAGGCACTTTAGTGTAAGGTTGTAAACGACTCGAATCAAATAGTGAGTAATATTATTCGTATTCGTATAACTTGACCAATATTCATATTCATATATTATTCGAATCACACATTAGATTCATATTTGATTTGTTAATGATATTCGAATATATTCATTTTGTATTCGGATATTCGAATTCAAATGTTTGAAGCGTCAAATTTTTTACCTATTCAAATTATGATATGATGTACCGCATGTATGTTTTTTCGATTTTCACAAATATGTCTACTAAATGAAATACCTCAGAAAATCAATTACTTCAAAAATCAATCGCTAATGAATGCAAAATCAATTACTTCAAAAATCATTCGCTAAGCATAGTAAAATCAATTAATAAAAAAAACAATTACTTCAAAAAATCTGTATGAACTTGATTAAACTAATACTCCTTTCGTCCCAAAATAAATGTCTTCTTTGATTTAGTACAAGTTTTAAGAAGTGATTGAAAAGGTAAAAGTTGTGGTAGAGATTTGAGTAGAAAAAGGTGAATTGATATGAGTCACACATTATTGCCAAAAGAGGAAACGAGACAAATATTTTGAGACGAACCGAAAAGGAAAGCAAGAGAGTTATTTCGGGACGGAAGAAGTACCAATTAAAACAAGCCAACGTAGAGATCCAAAGTTAAATAAACTACTTCAAAAAGAAACCCATTCAAATAAGTCATTGCAAAAGGATCAATATCTAGTAATAAGTTAGTAACACCAATGCTGAAATAGTCTACATAATAAGCAATTCAGAGTCCACATTAATGAGGCTCAAGTTGAATTCTTCCAACTTCCTCCAAGCTTTAACTCTTCAATTTATAAGCAAACTTCAATCGGCAATTCCTCTTCATGTAAAAGTTAAATAAATTATTAAACTTATTCAAATATTCTGAAAAATATACAAGTAAAATATTCAATAAAAAATTAGAAGTACCGAGTAGAACTTACGTATGTTCTCATAACCTTTCTTATCCTATGAAGTTGACGAACTCAACCGTCTCCTCAAATCAAAACCTCAAACATGTCACATGATAAATTAGCACGATATGAATCTAATACTCAAGTTCCTACAGTAAAAGTCGCCTCCGATGCAACTGTGCTAACAGGGATAGCTAAAATATCACGAGCTAATTTACATAAAATATTAAACTTGAGCTCTTGAGATTTCCGCCAAGCCAATGCATCAAACTCAAATGTTGCATCTCCTTCTTGGCATCTAAACACTCCTTCTAAATATGGGTAAGGGTAATTTAGAAATTTGAATCAATTTTATTTATTGAAAAATTTCCACTTTTGGTCCCATGACTATTACGCCACTTCCACATTTTGTCCATACCTTCCAACTTCGCCCTATCTTGTCCCATCGTTTTCTCCCGTTACCATTTCTTATCCTTCCAGCGTGAGCTCCGACGGCTTTAAAACTTTTTCTATTAAAACGAGGTTAATTTAGTAATTTCAAATCCGTATTAACTTCTTCTACCTACCGCCATCTCCTTCTTAACTTCCCTTCACAAATACTCCGTACATTGAGCATTTCATCGTCTTCTTTAGCTCTTTTTAACCCTAAATTGGTGGCCCTCACCACTCAATTCCTTCTTTTAACCTTGTCGTCCTTCTCGCCACTCAACCACAAAGGACCCAACATGTCTAGCAGCCACTCTACTTCTTCAAAATCAATTGGGCAGTATGAATATGGAGAATGGATTTCGGTTAAGCACTGCCAATGCATGGAAGCATCATCTGAAAGCATCTGAATTAGAGTCATGTATGGAAGCATCATCTGAAAAATTTGGATCAAGGTCTACCAATGTTAGATGACTTTCTGTGTTTTCTTCTTCAGTGTTAGTGTGCAACCCTCCATACTCAGCCGTTGAATCTATGTTATTGGAAAAATCAGTATCATCTTTACAAATGAAGTCCCCTAGATCAAAATCTTCTTCATCCCCAGAAAATTCTTCTAATGCCTCACTGTATGCACAATCACTACCTGAGAAGTCATCATCTACATCTTCATCTTCATCCACTCCATCTAATTCAATCCAAATCTCCACAAGTCTACCCACATTTCCATTATTCACAAAGTCTCAAATCTCTGAGTCACCATTCAATTCTTGTAATGAAGAATCTGAATAGGAAAAGATTCTTCTTACCTTATCACTGCAACCAAGTTCTTTTAGTTTCTCTTTAAGGACAATCAAATCAAACTCATCCACATCAAGATCACGAAATAAATGGCTAGTGCCTCCCCTGTAAGCAGGTCTGGCAGTGTCATGGACTCTTCCTCCGTACCACAACTTGAGAGTGAATGTGGTTTCACATAGGGCTATTTAAAATATGCATTCAATGTGGTAGGTCAATCATTCAAAGTTTTACACACAACCACATAATAAATACATAAACAATACAAACACAGAACCCATTACATAAAGTAAAAAACTAAAGAAGGTAAGAGAATCTGGTCCCATTTGTCAAATCCAAAAAGATAAAGGAAAAAAGAACCTGACCAAAGATAAACCTTACCCTACATTCTCCAACATCATAAAAAACCCTTTGTGTTTGTGTTTATCACTTCACCAAATTTCTACCCACATAATATGTACAAATTTCACAAAACTAGGACGGATGTATTTCTTACCTTTCTGCTTGTCTTCAACATTCGTCCCTTCTCCATGTGCTCTGCGCCCCATTCCAATTGTAGCCACTCCAGTAGGTCGTGTCCTCATTCTCAGCTTACTTGCTAGGGCTCCTCAGACCAGTTGTAAGGGAGACGTAAATGTGAGGTTCTAAGGTTATGGAGAGAGGATTAGGTGATAGTTAGCCGTTTTTCAAAAGTTTATTTACTAAAATAACCTTAAATTTTGACGTCTTAATAGAAAAAGTTTTAAAGCCGTCAGAGCTCATGCCGGAAGGATAAGAAATGGTAACGGAAGAAAACGATGGGACAAGATGTGGGGAAGTTGGAAAGTAGGGACAAAATGTGGAAGTGGCGTAATAGTCGTGAGATCAAAAGTGAGAATTTTTCTTATTTATTTATATTTTATTGAATGGCTGTGAATAGAACTCCCTCTGTTTATGTTTATATTGAGGCCAGTTCAACTCACACTCATTAGTTTTGGGCCGGTTTGCCCGGCCCAGCCCGTTGACAATCCAAGGTCAAACAGTCAAAGTTCCAACAGTCAGCTGTTTAGCGCTGCCGCGCCATCCCGCCATGCTAAATTTAGGGCACTCGCTGGTTCGAATTCTGAGCACCCCTGCGCTGGGCAGCCGCCGTCCTCCTAAATCCGCAATACATTTCAAGTTCTCAATCGATTAGCTTTATGTTTCGTGTAATCACTAATGGCTTTAGGACATTACTACATTTTTTGTTGCGCAGGTCGATCCTCTTAAGCTTTGTTTCATAAATTTTTACTGTTATATTATGTCTCAATGCTGTAAAATTTGTTGCTTTAGCACGGGATATAGACGAATATATAGGAGCGGGAAGTGTTCAATGGCTCTTCAATTTGAGGTATAGGCCTGTGAATTTGTGATATTTAATACATCTATTTGATAAAGCCTAACGGCGCTTGTTGAATGCTATCTAAATAATTTGGAGCACAAGTTTTTCATTGGAGTGGGCTTTCCTCAGTTATATATGTAGCGTTTTCATTTTTTGGTTGTTTGGTTTTTAGAATAAACTTGTAAATGTAACTTTCTAAAACAATTAGAGAAATCTAGGTGTCTACTCAAAATATTCTAGGATTCTTTTAATTTCTCAATTAGGAGTAACTTCTCAATGAGGAGGACCCCTAGAGCCTCTTTTCAATAATGTTCTTAACTTAATTAATGAGGGATCACAAGAGATCTTTTTCAATTAATGAGGGACTCAAACAGGGCCTTAGTTGATAAAGTATATTAATTCCCCAGCTAAGAAGCCTTTCTTGAATCTTTATCAATTCAGATTATAGGGAGGTTTAATCGTGCCCGAGCAGCTCATCTCACACTCCCTCATTATGTTTGCCAAACGCCTCTATTTATGCCAGTTGGAACACAAGGCAAGATCGCACCAGCCTTTTATTTAACCCTAAAAGTACTCTTCACCTCAATCTTATGACACCTTAATACATGCATTATTTAAAAATGTTTATGGCTTGCAGGGACTGTAAAAGGCTTGACAAACAACCAGCTCGAGGATATTGGTTGCCAAATAATACTTGGAAACACCTACCATCTGGAACTACGTCCTACCTCTCAACTTCTTGATGAGCTTGGGGGACTGCACAAATTTATGAACTGGCCAAGGGCTATGCTGACCGATTCTGGAGGCTTTCAAATGGTTTTCTCCTAAAATACTTTTTACTTAATGCCTTGAGTAATTATTACTTGTATACTTTGCTTGGTTACTTTTTAATAGACATTTTCTGTCCTTAGTCTTATGACAAAAATTTACCCTTATCAATGAATCACCGGTTTCAGGTCTCTTTATTGCATTTGGCTGATATTACTGAAGAAGGTGTAACTTTTCAGGTAGTTTCTGGCTTTCTGCTCTCTTACATGTCAAATTTAAGCTATATAGTTCAGTACAAATTGTACCTCTAGTTATACTAAATACCAATGCTTTCAATTTTTGATCTACATATTCTCTGTTATTGAGTTATTGAGCTAACCCCAAACTTTTTTGGGATTAAGGCTTGGATGTTGTTGCATATTCTCTGTTATTGGTAAGTGGTGACAACTTAAACTTTTGCAGTCTCCAGTGGATGGAAAACCAATGCTTCTTACACCTGAAGAGTCAATACACATACAAGTAGGTACATTGTGTTTGAAATGTAAAAGCCCACTCATCCAATGTAAACCCTATATGATTATAAATACACCTCTTAAGCATAGAATTGGATGCATTCAGCAACTAGATGTTCTGTAGCAAGGACCTATGGTATTATTTATCGATTGTGTAATTGAGCTTTGCTGGACTGTGTTAATAAGCTAATTTTTTTCCCTTGGATCATATAGTTCATAGCTGGGGACTATTTTCAAGGTTATTCTGGTCTTTCTGGATAGAGCCCCTCAACTAATATGTTTTTCTAACTTTTGGGCTTCAAGTTCAAAATAAGCCAAATTTAATTTCTCGATCTTTTAAAATGTATCACACTTAAGTCCTGACAAATACAGGTATTGGTTTTACAAAGAACTAAAATTGGCACATTTTCTGATTTCAATGGTAAAAGGATTTAATTTGGCACTTCGTATTTTATCATGCATGCTTGAATGACTTGATATTGCAGAACAGAATTGGAGCTGATATTATTATGGCTCTCGATGATGTCGTAAAAACCACAACCACAGGTCCAAGAATTGAGGAAGCAATGTATCGAACTCTTCGCTGGATAGACAGGTGCATTGCAGGTAATATGATATGTAACAGGTAGTGAGTTTTTTTGAACAAATGGACTGATTTAACTTAGCAAATGCATATCCAAGAGCCGGAATCAGGGCAAACTATATTTCAGGAAGAAGACATCTGGGCCACTTGCAGTTCTCAGAAAGTTTGTAACAAACTAAGCTGTATGTTTTGCCAAAAATGTAAAAAGAGAGCAGCTTAATATGTTAAAACATACTCTTTCAAATTGATCAATCATCAATGTGGTTATCTGTCATGTTTTTTTAAATCTTTAAACAATGATTTGCCCTTCATATTTTTGTGAATAACTCCATACGGCAATAACTTTGTCATACTGGACAGCTCACAAAAGACCACTTGAGCAGAATCTGTTTGGCATTGTCCAAGGCGGTGTAGATCCAGTGCTAAGGTGATTTTACGTAAATGTCCCTATTCTATGGTTATTGTTAAATATTCCTATTAATGAAATAATTATTTATAACCTATTTTTTCCTCTTAGAGATATCTGTGTCAAGGGTCTGGTGGATCGTGATTTGCCTGGGTATGTATAATTTCATTTAAATTAAATCATTTTTAGTACACTGATTTGTATTTTATAATTTTAAGTCACAGCTATTATGCACAATTAAACTGATAGTCTTCTTAAAGAGTTCAGTTACATTTCCGCATGCCCTTCATACAAACAAAAAAAATTCAAGAGAAGAGAGCTCTTCAGCGTATTTTTTATTGCTTCTGCTATACTTCCTCCTAAAAAATTAAGAACTGCATGAAATGTTTCTCTATCACGTCAAGATTATACATTTTTTAGAATGGTTCTGCATTAATGTCTTCTACATTTAAGATATTATAAGAATTATGTTTTACGGGTGGGGGTGCCTTAGTACTTTAATATGGTTTAATTCATGGCCTTTACTGGCAGATGCATTGGGATTTCAAAGGTAATCAATGCAAACTTACCTTATAAAAACTGACAAAAGCAAGAATGTGGCATTCACGGTTAGTTTGGTTGAAGATTCCCTTTTATCATCTTGATAATTAGACCACTAAATTTATATGATGTAGTTAAATAGTGTTCTGTAAAACCAATTCTATTGTGTCATTAATAACAGTGATGTACAATAAAGGCAATAATTTTTTTTACTTCTACCGCAGCTATGCTATTGGTGGTCTTGCGGGTGGTGAAGATAAAGACTCTTTTTGGCGTGTTGTGGCCCAGTGTACCGCCGCATTGCCTGAGGATAAACCACGATATGTCATGGTGTATATCAGTTGTTTGAAACATCTCTTTTGACAATTACTATTACTATTACGCCTTCCATCCCAAAATAAACTTCCGAGCTAAAATTTCTGACATTGACCATTAAATGTTCATATATCATATTATTTTATAATATGAAAGTTGTCTCCACCATTTTGTACTCCTTCCATTCTTTGTTTAACGCCTTGATTTTTGCATAATATACATAACCTACTTTGACCTTTTGATTCTTATTCTGTACAAAACAAATCATAATACATATGGAGTATATATTATATATATAATGTTGTTAAATGTGTCTCAATGTATATTTTTTCAAAATATTGGGTTTTATAAATTATTACTTGCATATAGTTGAATAGATTAATGTTCTTAGTCGTGTGGTATCAAGTGCGGACACAAACAATTTCAATTTTATGAAAAGAATGAAATTTAGTATTTTTGAAAGATTAAAATATTATACGCAGTATATTTTATTCATATGTAATGGCATACAGTATTGGTTAAAGACGGGTACTCAAGACCATGAAAGTCAAAGCGTGAACTGTGAAGCTTATTTTGGAGAGGCATTATTATTATATTCTAACAACTATGACAACTTCAACGATAATAATAACAACATTAATAATAATAATAACATTAACAATAAATAGAATAATAATTGTATCTTTATTGTTATTGTATCTTCTTGTTTCTATTTTTTTTTAATCTCATATCTTGTTTGTGTATGATCCAGGGTGTTGGGTACCCTTTGGATATTGTAGTTTGCAGTGCTTTGGGTGCTGACATGTATGACTGTGTCTATCCTACTCGCACTGCTCGGTTTGGCACAGCCCTAGTGCCTGAGGTGACAACTTGATATGTGATTACATCATTACATCGTATCATCCACAATCAGTTCAGTTGAGTTGAGTTGAGTTATCCCATCCATAACTTAATTATTTTTGGCTGAAATGCAGGGAGTTTTGAAGCTTAAACACCAAGCAATGGCTAATGACATCCGTCCAATTGATGCTACATGTGATTGTATGGTATGTTCCTTTAGTGTATGTTTGGATAACAGGAATGCCAGTGAAAGGAAAATACAAGGATAGTTAACACCGAGCATCTTTTATTGAGCTTTACCTTTACTTTGTAACATGAAAAGGAAAATTGTTTTTTTATACTTGGATTTGTTAGTCTTTATAATAGAACAGAAATAAATGAATAGTACTCCTTCCGTCCTGCAATTAAGTTCTCACTTTCCTTTCTTGGGATGTTCCAAAATTAAGTTCTCACTTCTCTATTCGGTAATATTTAGTGTAAAATACTCTTTTACCCCTATCTCATACTTTTAGGAAAGGGCATGCTTGGAAAGTCAATAAAAAAGTTATTTTACCTAAAGAGCTCGTGAACTCAAACTATGAACTTAATTTGTCATAGAGAGTATGAGTTTGAGCAACATCTAAAAACTAAATAAATACATTGAGCTTGAGTTTATCCTTTCGTTTCTCCCAAATTTTCTTTTATTCCTACTTTCCTCTCTGATTTCGTCTTTATTTCTTTTTAATGTGATTTCTGACTTCTAAACAGGCCCTTATTATTTTATTATCTCATTTTTTATTGACAATTGTTTCATTCTAAATTACTGATGTGATCTGTCTACAGGTATGCAAAACATATACAAGGGCTTATATTCATTCCCTTGTCACGAAAGATGCAATGGGTTCTCAGCTTTTGTCATATCATAATTTGTATTACATGATGAAGGTATCTATCTACCCAGACAGCATTATAATTTCATCTTACCTGATTACCTTTATCATTGTACTTGAACTGTAATATTTTAACCATGCAGCTTAGCAGAGATCTACACTTTTCAATTCTTGAAGGACGCTTTCCAGCGTACATTACCTTTAACTCTACATATTTCTTCTGTATGGCTGTTATGTTTTTTCAATATTTGGTTAATCTCTTCGAATTATTCATTTGCAGATATGTATGTCAGTTTCTGCAGAAAATGGTAATCATTCATACAATCAACTCATCATTTTTATGTTTATGATTTTTGAAAAAAATGGTTTTTGGAACCAATAAATAAACAAGAAAACTAATGTTTATTATTATTGTTGTTGTCATTACTATTATTATTATTATTAATATTACGGATTATTATTATTATTATTATTATTATTATTATTATTATTATTATTATTATTATTACTTAAGCTCTTATAATGCTGTTGATGACATGTAGTTCCCCAGAGGAGATGTTCCAGAGTGGGTCTGCAATGCCATGGAGGTTGCTGGAGTTGATATCTCTTCCTGCTGTCAACCAATTTCATCAACATCTGTAACAAGGCAGGCCAATACATAAAAGATAGTAACACTAACAAAGTTGTTTGTTTTTTTAGTGCTACTGATTACCCCCTTTTCTTATTATAGCCTTTCGTCTAGGTTTACATAGATTTAGACACTAACAACAAACACAGGGAGCAGTTTTTTGGTTGTTTCCAGAGACACAGGGAATAGAAAAGGTAGAGATTAAATTACACATCTCGGGAATATTTTGATGTTACAGATATAAAACAACAATTTTTGGGACGGCAATTATGATCCTTGGTTCTAAACTTCTAATTAAAGCACACCCTGTGGGCTGTGATGATCCCATTTTATATTCTCTTCAATGATTCTCATGTTTAATGATCCATGGACCATGGCTAATGTGTGTTAATACTTAATACTTTATTGTGCCATTGCATTATTCCCCCCCACATTTCTTGACGCGCTCAAATTCAAATGCGTCACTTCTGCTTCTTAGAAGAACTCAATCTATCAGTTTTTTCCTTGAAGATATATACTGCTATATTTTCTTTTACTTTTAGTTTCTTGAAATGGAAGTTCGATATTGCTTGCTCGATTTTCTATTGTTTGCAAATTGCAACTACAATCATATTAGAAGACACGTCCTCTTAGTTTTTGAGTTATTCTTTTGTACTTTTCATACTTCTTTTATAACTTCGCTTGCATTTAGCATTTTCCACGCTATCCATTATTGTTCTTACCATTTGTACTCTTAATCCTATGAAAGTCTACTAAACTAAGTAGTGACATGGATTATTACTCAATTTGGTACTCAACTTTTTTTAGATTCCATTTGGTTCTTAATTACTTCATCCAATTGCTTGTCCAACACTTCAAACCCCCCAATTTGGATTTATTTGGAATGTTAAAGAAGTGAAGAATTGAAGTCTTGGGAATTGGGATGACTAGGGATGGACTCGGGCTGGGTGGCCCGACCCGGAACCGGCCCGGGACCGGTACTGTTCCGGCCCGACCCGACCCGGTGGCCCGGTCAGTGACCGGTCCGGGTAGGCCCGGCCCGTGGGTTTTCCGGTCCGGGCTCGGGTCACCCAAAACAAGGCCCTACCCGGCCGGGCCCGGGCCCGGTTCGGGCCAAAAAATATTTTTTATTTTTTTTTTCAATTTTTTTTAACTTTTCGGGTTGGGCTGGGTATTTTGGGCCATTTGGGGTGGTTTGGGGGGTTGGGGGTGGGAGGGGGGTTAATTAGGAAGAGGAAAACAAAAAAAAAAATATAATGGGCCTGGCCCGGCCCGGCCCGGACCGGACCCGGTGGTTACCTGGGCCGGTCCCGGGTCCACCATTTCTGACCCGCCGGCCCGTCCGGGCCTAGGCCCGACCCGGACCCGGCCCGGACCCGAGTCCAACCCTAGGGATGACTACCCATATCACTGCTCAACAATGGTTAACCAGTTCTTATACCGTGGTACCGGTGCATGGTGACCACCATGCACCCTTTATTTTTTATTTCTCATTTTCTTAAAGTTGTTAATAATTTTATTATTTTTGATTCGATTTTTATAAAATTTATACCAAATTTTTTTATTTTTCATGATCTTTCAAATGAGACCAAAATTGCTTATGTAATTTTAATTTTTTACATTCATACATTTTTTTGTAATATTTTTTTATATGCATACACTTTTTCTATAATATATTTTTTTATCACTTTTATATGTTTTAGAGGTTTTTAAGATATTGAGTTTGTTTATTTTGTTTCTAGTTTGGAGTTACATTTGATAATATACGAAGTTACATCATCTTATACTCCAGTTACAAGTTATTATGTGTTAGTTATATCTTGTTATGTGTAAGTTATATCTTGCTATACACGAGTTACATACTTTTATGCGAGAGTTACATGTAATTATGTGTGAGTTACATCTTGTTATGTGTGAGTTACATCTTATTATACACGAGTTACATACTTTTATGCGCGAGTTACATGTAATTATGTGTGTGTTATATCTAATTATTTGTGATTTTTTACTTATCTTTATCTTGAACTAATTCAATTATAACTGAATTAATTTTTTTTTGCCAATTTAATACAAAATTTTATTAATCCACATAAAATAAGTATATTGTATTTCATATTCATACTCTATTTTTTAAATGATAAAAATGAAAGATGTAGCAGGGGTTTATTTCATGGTGTAACTCACATATATTAAGATGTAACTCGTGTATATTAAGATGTAACTCACGTACAATAAGATGTAACTCGCGCAGAAGAAGATGTAACTTCATGATATATTATCCAATGTAACTTCAAAATAATTTGTTAAAATTACATAAACAATATTGGTCTCATTTGATAGATCATAAAAAATAAAAAAAAATTGATATAAAATTTATAAAAATCGGATATAAAATAAAAAAGTTATTACAATTTTTAATAATAAAAGAAAAAAAAAACAATGAATGCTGCGTCGTTTTGGGATCAGGCGCACCATCCTCATGATCCTAGGGTATAAATTGCGATGGTCAACATTCCTAATTTTCATTTTTGTGTTACCTTCCTCCTACACAAGTGTTCTTACAAACACTTTTTATCATTTCCATTACTAACGCCTATTAACACCATCCCAACATAGGGAAGTATAAAACATAATGTCCAAAAAAACAATAGCAATGACATCAAAAGTTGTAATGATGTTAATTAATGTCCGTTAATATAAACTTGGTTTAGTTAGCAATTGTTTGTAATGTGGTTATCTTATTATCCATTTTTTAAATCGTTATGACTCATTGACTCGCTCTGTACAAGTATTTTGTAATGTCCATTGCTTAATGCTCAATTACTCAGCTTACCATGTCAGGAGATATTATCCTATATATGTCCATTTCAATGCTTCTATACGTGTTGTTTTCCCCAATTTCTAAGTTCCGGGTCATTATTGCAAATTTGACACGTTTTCAATCGTACCGATAGAAGATGAATGAAGAGGACATATATGGAATCCAGTCTAGTGTCTCAGTCTGTTTCGCAAAAGAAAGTTTAAAGATGCTTCAGAGTAACGTTAGATTTTAATGTCTGAAAAATTATTAAAAGTAAAGTTGTAGATATTTGATAAAAAACTAACTATTTGATTCACGTCTGTCTGGTATAAAAACTGTTGTGACATGAGCTAGACCTGGTCCTGATCCGGGCAGGTTTCGGTCCTGGACCGGCCGTTCTTTGGAAAAACAAATGGAGGCCTAGGACCGGAACTTCTATTTCCTATTCCGAGTCAGTCCGGACCCCTAAATAGTCCACGCCCGGTCCAATTTTTTTTTCCCAGTATACTTTTAAACCACTAACCCCCTTCTACATCTCTTTTAAGCTTTTAAATGAATACTTAGCCCTTAAAAAGGTTTTCCAATGGTTCCATAGCAAATACAAAACAAATGCGCCTGGTCCCAATCCCAAAATGGAGACCCGTGTCCTGTTTCCCACGAGTTCAGTCTCGGTCCCAGCCTAAAACATTATTTTTCAGTCCCCATTCGAAAATCGGGCAGTTCCAGTCCCGATCGGTTTCGGGACCGGGACCGAGGCCACGCACCCCTAGTTGTAACTAATTAACGCTAAAAGTGATAAACTTCTCTAATTAACGCTAAAAGCTACTCAATGTAGTTTCTCAAAAAATATATTTTATTTTAGAAAAAGTTGTCAACTATTGTCGTACCAAAATACATTTTATCCTAGTAACTTTTACAAACTTTTAAAATAGTAAAAAAATTAGAAGGTAATTCATGACTATCAAACATGCACTTAGATAAAGAAATCATATCTAGCTGGGCTCCTTCCATAAATTTATAGGTGCTTATGCCTTTGAAGTGATTTGTTTCAGATCAGATATTATATGCATGAGAAGTGTTTAATTCAGAGTAGTAAGAAAAAAATGTTTGAAACCAAAATTAAAGTGGTTTTGGAAATGTACGAAAATAAAAGTTAAGTGTGTAGTAAAAAAATAATTTTTATATACTGGATAACACGATGAATAAATTGTACAAAACATCTCCTGTTTCTAGCTTTATAGTTTTTAATTGAAGGAGAAGTATATGTTTGAAAACATTAATTTTAACATTTTTTAAATTAATTAAAATAAAAAATACCTTTTTTAGGAAAACAAAAACAGACCCTTTATCACTTTATGCTGATAAGTCATAAACTTGAGGTATTAATGATTCTTCTAAATTTTCGCATATTATGAAATTTAAGAGAATTTAATATGATGATATTGGTAAGAGAAAAGTTAGAGATAGACGTGAACTTAGAGCTTACTATAGCAAGGAAGGAGTGGTGAATAGTACAAGAGGCTCGATATAAACTCTTACTACATAGGTCACACACTAAGATCAGGACAAGAGAAGGTGACACGATTATTAAGAAAAGTGGATTTGTGTGATTAACATTAAATTGATAAAGTAAGAATAAAATAAGAATGATTTAGATCCACACAATTTTACCAAATTTGATATGGAACAATCATAGTGGAACTTTCCGAAAAGATAAAAAATGGGACAATCTTAGCGGGACGGAGGGAGTATATTACAAGACATTTGACTTAGCTCCATCATCACTGTAGTAGAAGAGGATTTTGAATGTCTACGTACCATGCATCCTTAAGCTAGCTAATCTACTGTTTTAAAGCATATGAGATTTAATTCATCACTGTGTAAGACAGGATTCCGAATGTCTCTAACATGCATGTACACTAAGGACAAAGTATGAACTATTACGAGTTAGGACAATGTATAATACGTACATAATTATTCCTAAAACCTAGGTACGTACGTCAATTTTAAGTAGTAATGTCATGAAAATATCTCCACTATTGCAACTTAGTGAATATTTCATCTTATAAAGTAAATAGTCATTAATTATCATTAATTAATATCAAAATGACAAAATCAGAAACAAATTAAACATTGTGTGACTAGTATAAATCAAATCATTTGTTAACCTTATTAATAAATGGTTTTCATTTTCATGTAATTTCATCTTCAAAAACATCTCTATTCAACTCTGAATCTCTGTTAGTTTTCCTCGATTCATAATATCCACCCATATTTCTCCAATAATTCACTTTTCAACCTCACAATAAATAGATGCTTTAGAGCCAATTGGTAACACTAGATTAAATTGACTGCATCTAGCGTATATAATCTATTTGATGAAATTTTATAGAGACGGCTGAATTGACGCGGGTAAATCCGTTGTGTTATGAAAGATTTATATCAAAAATTTATTTTGTTAAAAAAGAGAAAAAAATACATAAAAAACTAAAGTTGCCTCTTCAGCAAATTTAGA